CAGACATACTCACACTATCATGAAATTATACTCTGCCTCAAGGAGGTCATTAAAGGAGGAAAGATAGAGAGGGAGAAAGCGAGCAAGAGACAGAGATGCGTATAGAGGGAAAATAGAAGAAAGGAAGGAAAAAATGAAGGTAGGTGGGAAGAAAGGTCACACTAAACTTACTGTCAAAGGCGAAGCCCAGAATAAATCACCTATGCCCCTATCCACCCTTACACAGGGGAATACTAAGTAGTTGGTAGAAAGCAAATGAAAACAACCTACAGGATGTTTTCTCTGCACAGATGTGCAAAGGCCAGGCCATACATTCTGTGAAAGCGATGAAGAAGAATATATTGTTCGTGCTACCCTGTGGGGTAGGTGAAGAGGTGAAATACAAACATGAATCTGTATTTGCCTTCATGTGCATTAAACATTGAAAGCAAACACCCGTTGCCGTCGAGTCGATTCCGACTCATAGCGACCCTATAGGACAGAGTAGAACTGCCCCATAGGGTTTCCAAGGAGCCCCTGGTGGATTTGAACTGCTGACCTTTTGGTTAGTAGCCAAACTCTTAACCATTATGCCACCAGGGTTTCCACTGAAAGCATACACAAGGAAAAATTAAATATGCTTCACACTCTAAGGGAAGTTGGGATAAGAGGTGAAAGGAGAGAGAGGACCAGTATTGGAAGTGGTCCTAATACAATGGCAATGTATATTTTCTTTGAATGGGATGAGGCTGTATCCAAAGTGACACCTACAAAATCATAATCTTGTCTCTTTCTCTCTATATATATATGTATATAAAAATATGTGTATTTATATGTATGTATGTGTCTCAGTTACCTAGGGCTGCTATTACAGAAATACCACAAGTGGACGGCTTCAACAAACAAGTTTATTCACTCACAGTCTACTAGGCTAGAAGTCTGAATTCAGGACATCACCTTGAGGGGAAGTCTTTCTCTCTCTGTCTGCTCTGGAGGAAGGTCCTTGTCATCAACCTTCCACTGGTCGAGGAGCTTCTCAGTGCAGGGACCCCGGGCCCAAAGGATGCACTGTGCCCCTGGTGCTGCTTTCTTGGTGGAGTGAGGTTCTCCTGTCTGTCTGCTCGCTTCTCTCTCTTATATCTCAAAAGAGGTTGACTTACGACACAACCTAATCTTATAGATTGAGTCCTGCCTCATTAACATAATTGCCACTAATCCCACCTCATTAATATCATAGAGATAGAATTTACAACACATAGGAAAATCATAATCAGATGACAGAATTGTAGATAATCACACAATGCTGGGAATCATGGCCTAGCCAAGTTGACAGATATTTTGGGGGGACACAATTCAATCCACGACAGTATGTAAGTATGTGTGGGAGGCTGTGAGTGTATGATGCAGCCAAACCTTCACGTAGGTTTGATGTTAGTTGCCATTGAGTCGATTCCGACTCCTGGCGACCCCATGTGTGCACAGTACAGCTGCTCCATATGGTTTTCAAGGCTGTGAGCTTTTGGAGGCAGATCACCAGGACTCTTACCAGGAGCCTCTAGGTGGGTTCAAATCACCAACCTTCCGGCTAAGTGTCCAAGGCTTAAGCATTTGCGCCACCCACAGACCCAAGTTTTACAGTAGAGTCTGTAAAACAAGTGGCCCTCATGGAGGTCACCTGCCCCTGTGGAACCACTGAATTATCCTTCTGACCCATGGACCTCCAAACTGGGTACCAAATGGGGAATGACTACCTACTACCTGGGTCCACCCTCACTGCCTTATGACCTGCCATGGCCACTGGTCACTACTCCTGATGCCACAATGACCTACTCCCTGTCTGGGGCTGGGCTCCTTAGTCCTTGCCTTGGATAAGGTAGCTCAACGAGTCTAGAAAAGCCAGTGATAAGAGAGGAAATCAAGGTATTCATCCCAACTTAAGCCATGAGTCAATTTCCTGTGAAAGCTAAAATCCTACCCAAAAAGACCTATATATCTGTGCACAAAAATCTTGGTACTTGTTAACATGGAACTGACTTAGAAGTCTAGAAGAAGTAGATGTACAAAGAAGCAGTTAAGCAAGTATGTACACAAATACTTACACTGATAATCATATAAATATTTATAGCGATAATCATACATAGGTATATACGCACATATACATATATTTATTTAAATATACATAAATGTATATTCAAAGCAAATAGTCTAAAAGGAAACCATTTGCCCTAATATTCCAACACAGTAAACCCCATTTGGAGGGCCTGGAGGGTTCCTGGTCTCTCCTTGGGGTTTTTTACTTGGGAAAGGGTGGAGGGAGAGGCACTGGAGAAGAGGTGGTGGGCATTTGTGGAGCAACATTGCCATCAAGTGGAGGCTTTTTGAGCGTAGTCTCCAGTCCTGCTCATTGTCTCTCCTGGATGTGTGCGCTATTTTCCAACTCACAGTGAACCTATAGGACACAGTAGAACTGCCCCCATAGGGTTTCCTAGACTGAAATCTTTACAGGAGCCTATCACCAGGTTTTTTCTACTGCAGAGCAACTTGTTAGTTCAAACCTTGGGGCTTTTGGTCAGCTGACTGCTTAACCATTTCACCACCAGGGCTCCTTATGTTCTGGACACCAAAACCAAAAAACCAAACCCATTGCCTTCGAGTCCATTCCTACTCGTAACAACCCTATAGGGCCTATGATATGAGGAGGGCTGGGTTGGGGGCAAGGCACAGTCTTTACTGGGCTTTGTTGCAACCAAGGGATGCTCCCGTGGCTATGGGACCACAAAGGTTGACCCACTTCCTGGTCCTAAGGCCAGGGCCATGAGGCAAATTGCCCACAGCCCAGTGTTGAGGTACCTTCCCAGTGGCTTGCACTAGTTCCTTCCAGACATGGCAGCCACCAAGGGCTAAGTCTTGGCTTCCTGTGCGAGACCTGCCTGACACTATGGATGTCGGCCTTGTCCTGGCCCACCTCCCCAGCTTCCTGGGTAAGCTCCCGCCTTGGACATCACTTGCCCCCTGACTCAGGGAGCTGTGGACATGCGGAACCCTGCCTTAGTTATGCCTAGGACCGTGATGGAAACCCTGGTGTAGTGGTTAAGAGCTACGGCTGCTGACCAAAAGGTCAGCCTTTCAAATCTACCAGCCGCTCCTTGGAAACCCTATGGGGAAGTTCTACTCTGTCCTATAGGGTCGCTATGAGTCAGAATCAACTTGTCAGCAACAGGTTTTTTTTTTTTGGTGTAGGACCCTGACTTCCTCTAATCCCAGGCCTCTCCAGGAGGCAACAATGGTGGGTCTGTGGGCTTTGGAAACAACTTCCGCTTGATGTCAGTATTACACCAGAAATACATGCACCCTTTCCCCCAGGATTCACTCTCTGCCCTTTGCTATGGAGGGGTGGGAGGAGTAAAAAGCCAGTTGATGTCCACTGTTCCAAAACCATGGTGCCTCACCATCTTGTCAACTTCTGGGGCTTCAGCTTCCATGTCTTGTGCTCTGTCTCACAAGCCCTTGCCTCTGTAAGGGGGTGTAAGTTTTCCTTAATTCCAGACTCCTCCCCAGGAACACCTCCCCACTCAGGCATCCTGTGGGTGGACAGACCTAAGGCCATCCTTATTTGCATCCTTAACGCTCCAGCTTAACTGAGATCTCAAGCAATGGACTGCGTCCCTTCACAGAGTTCCAGCCACCCAGCGCCTGAGTGCCCACCAGGAACATTCCAACTTCAGCCTTCTTACACCTTTCCGAAAACCCAGTTTGATATGAATTTCAACTTTGTTCCTGTTTTGGAAAGTACACACCTACAATTCATGGATGCTGCCAAGAATCAGATTGTAGAGAATCAGATGCTCTGAAATATAAACATATCTTCCTGATAATCGCTTTTTCTTTGGGAAGCACAATCCTCAAGTTGACTTGTATAGTCACAGAACTTCCCTGCTCCTCCATGCTTCTGTGACTATGGGAGAACATATGGGAATGTATTCCCAAGTCTGTTTCCTCCACCACAAATGGAATACCCGACCTTCAGGGGGTCATCAACTCCTCTGACTCACTTGTAAATGGGAAAGAGATCTCTCCCATATGGCCTTATAGACATTAACCACATTGTCTAACAAGGGTAATCACTGTAGGATGTGGACCTGTAATAATTCTTCCAACTGCTTACCTCTGAGTTGACCTTTAATAATATGAAATGTATCTATACACGCATTCAAACTATTTTAACTATGAAGTTATGTGTGGGGATATGTGCCATTAAAATATGGATGTATAAAGGCCTCTATGCTGCACAACATGTTGAGACTTGTCCCCAACATGTTGAGACTTGTCACGACTTGTTTTTCCAAACCCGTTACTTGTCCCCAACATGTTGAGACTTGTCACGACTTGATTGGCTTGTTTACCTGAGTTCCTCCTCCCTTGCCCGAAACTTATTGTTATTCACCTAAAGCCCATTGTTCTGTTATTTGCTTCACTGCTTGCTGTATTGACTATAAAATAAACTCCTGGGACTGAAGCCGGGGTTCGACTCCTCAGAGTGACCCTCCTGGCCCCACTTCTCTGTAAGAGTTGTGGTATTGGTTACTGTCTCCGCCGCCCCG